TAAACACCTGTCAGTATCACTGAACTTCAATGATCCATCACACTTAAGCAGATTACTCACTGTACATGATTCTGAACAGCTTACACTCAGTAATAGTGAGTTATTAAAAGCCATATTTTCATATGATAAACTGCTTTAAACCAAAACATCTGCTTATCTGTCTTAACTGACTATTAGCAGAACTGGACTTGACATTTTGAACTGTTTTAAATACACATCTCTTCTTTAGCTAACAGTATGAATGCATGTTTAGAATGATCTTTTTAATGCAATACACTGAAAATGGTTCATTTCTGTTTTGGGGACTCATGCAGTCACCATTAGTCAGTTTATACATATATACTGTATAATAACAAATTAGAATGTAAATAATGTTGGGTTTTTGCTACACTGCACATGTTCTTATTTAGATCTATCCTACAATTTTAGGCTGTACACATAACTCATTTATCTCTATCCATCCAGCTGCACAAGGGCCTTGTTAAGCATATATTCAACCATCATTAAACCTACAGGATTCCCACCTAACCCTGCTCTCCAGCTGTGCGTCGTACTCCAGCAATGCGTGAGAAAAAGCTTCATGGAGTTCAGTGCTGCTCATAATTTCCCCTTGAAATGAGGCGTTAAGAGACGTTTCACACACCTGGTTATGACCATAAAACCACTTCTTTTAAAGTCAAAACTTGTGCCTTTAACACAACATTAGGTCTCAAAAGGAAATTTTCCACTTAAGGTAAGGTGAGTTGAGTGGCATGGCTCATTATCACAGGTTCACACTGTTTGATAGAAGTGTTATGGGGTGTAAATGCTGAATTATAACATTTTTAATTCATCTTCCAAGTTTGATGAAGTGGAACGTCAAACTTCTATCAAAAACTTGTTGGAAATTAAATGGGTTGATTTTTTACTTATTATTTAATTCCCCCTCCAGAGGTCCACATATACACTTTTTTTTGGTGCCAAAAAGTGTCATAATTAAATTTTTGGTTATTTTCTGCCCTTAAGAATTGTTCAAATTGCTATCATTGTATTATATTTTTAGCTTTTTCTGAAAAAAGTTGTGGTTTGTGTTCTCAAATACAAAAATATAAAGTTTATATTGTTCTAAAAGAGCAGGATGTGCTTCCTGAACAAAATCAGACAGGATTTCCTCACCTAATGATGGCCATAAAACAGAATCCTTACTTCCTTGATTGTTTTCATGGAAAAGCCAGATCAATGCAGCTGTTCTCTATGTAAGCTGGTCTGGGTTTACAGGTTATCCCAGTTTTCACAGTTGTCTAAGAATTGTGGTTACGCTGATTAAACACTGCAGAAATACTAACCTTTCAAAGAGAGGCCGCTGGTTTCTTTTAAGACCATATTGTTAGACTTGACACTTGAGTTTATGCAAAGCATTTCAAAGTGAATAAAACCTAATCCTGCTTATGCTGTAAAGAGTTGAATCGCAATGTGCCACATGTGGAATGTGCAGGTGGTGGATTACTGTGTTACGGTATTTTACTCAATGTTTTTTTAGCACTTACAACTATTACATGCTGTTCTAGTGATTTTTCCCTCCTATAAATGTTGTTATGCAGCATAGTTGAAAAAAGCAAAGTAACCACGAGGCATTAGCTGACACTGATGCCAGCACACTCACCTCAGTGCTGGGAGCGTTAGAGGGTGGGCGTCTGGGCGAATCGCTCCGTCTGTTAACGCTAAAAACCAACATACGAGTGTCAGTTCACTTTTGACTCCAGCATGAGAGCGAAAATATTGCTCTCCACACACCGTGCTACAAAAACGACAGACACATCTCTCAGCCAATCCCACGAAGCAGCACCAAATGAGGGCGGAGCTTTCAGCAACTAACAGAAGTCACCTTGCCACTGGTCAGAAAAGTTCAATTAATGGACTTGGAAAGAAACAATGACCGGTGTTACGAGACTTTCGGTTTCCGAGATTTTCTGTTTCAGTGGGCGGAGCAGACATGAATATTCATGAGTTTCCCGGACATGCGCGTGGAACCAGGTGGAACCGAGAATTTCAGTTCACGCTCCTTGTATCTCAGCAGGTTTAATGGTATATTTTAAAAAAGGTAAATATTTTACAGCGTTGCACAAACCTATGCCTAAACTACATTTGTTCATCATTTTGTAACAGTTTATAATGTTTTCATTAGTTTGCACGTTTTGTGCAGTCGTCACTTACTGAATGATTGCAGACATTCAGCACACTTAAATCAGAGTTGAAAATGGTTGTACTGCTTAATGAAGTGTGGAAACCATTATACAGCGACAGGATTCCTTGATGAATGGAACGTTCAGAAGAACAGCATTTATTTGAAATAGAAATTTTTTTTTTTTACATTATATCGACTTTACTGTTACTTTTGATCAAATTTGCTGAATCAAAAAAAAAATCTATATAAATATAAAAAACTGACCTCAAACTTTTGAACAGTAGTGTATACTTACAACTCATCCTTTTAAAATTTTGAAAAATTAATCTTTTCTGTTTCTTATTGCAGTTTTGTATTGTTTGTAGTGTGATCAACGTTTGCGTAAGTAGTAGACATATTAGGGAAGTAACACGTAACATTTTAATTACATTTTGTTAAAATGAACGAAATGAACGAAATGACTCGGAAAAAAGATTCGTTCATTTTGCTGAACGAGACTCAAAGGTCCGAGTCGGTAAAATGATCCGAACTTCCCATCACTACAATTACTACCTCATGCTCCAAGTTCTCTAAGCACAAACACAGGCTGCCTACCTCTCCCAGTCACTGGCATCATTTAACATTACGATATTTTCCCTGTGTTTTTTGACGGATGATGGGGCCTCATTGCTATGCAAGTGCCAGATGAATCATAAACCTATACCATATGCCATCGCAATTTGCTGATGGGACCAAGCTGTTTTGGTGGATATAAAATCCAGGGATTATAAATGCCTGATCCTCAGTGAATGGTAGAGGCACAAGGTGGAGTGAACGCAAGTCGTCTTAT